AGGGCCAATATTTGGTTGGCACAGCTGACTGCTTCATGAGGGCTCGCATTTTTATCGCGAGGCTCCTGTTGGTTTGCTCTGCCAATCCCTGTTGCTCGTGAGTGTTGGGAGCGAGATCATCCTCTGGATCCCCTTCTGTCCGCAAAGGGTTTTGAACTCCTCTGTCTGATACTCCAGAGCTCCGTCCGTTTGAAACGCCTTCAGCTTCTTCCCTTTGCTCTGGGTCTCCGCCATGCTGAGCCAGATTTCGAAGCACTGGTAGGCGAGATAGAGGTTGCTGACATTCACGGCCCAGACGAAACGCATGCCGGCGTCGATGAAGGTAAGCGTGTACTGCTCTCCTCCAACTTCTTTTGCCGTGAGTACCAGGAAGTCGCTGTAGACCTTTTCGAGCGGCTTGTAACGTTCTGCTCCAGGTATCTTCTCGGCAAAGGGCGTGTGACGCAGCGCAGCTGTCGGACAGACGGTGCAGTTGGGTAAGTCAGTTCTTAATTTGAGTAGTTTTCCATCTGGCAGCAACAGTGCGTCTGCCGCAAGGACGTTTGCGTCGATGCAGTTGTTGAGCACTTCGATCGATGGGTGCCCGAATCGTTGGTGCCAGATGTTGGGGTCGGCGCGGTATCCACTCGTGCGCGCGCAGAACTCCTTCTCTCGTGCTGAGATTTGTTCTGTGGTTTCGTTTCCAATGTGTTCCGCATGTTCGTCGGATACAGCAACGCGGACTGCCGCTGCCTGAAGTGTCGCGCCGTGATACGTTCCGCTGGTGTCGCCGATGGTGGAGGTGTCAATCATCACGAGAAGTTTCAGCGGTCCTTCGGGAGGTGTCGGTGTGACTCGTGGACAACGATCCTCCAGCTGCATGACTTCTCCTTCCTCGAACGGTATCGCCAATCGCTGCTCCCCTTGTCTCAATGCGGAGGTAGTCCCTGCCGTCTGTTGTGAGGGGAGGAGGTGAGGTCCGTACTCCGTTGACGATTCCTTTTCTTCTGCTTCCAGTGCCTCCCCGGTGACTTCTGGTTCTTCTGCTTCTTCTGCTGCAGGTCCTTCGGTGACGTTTCCCCATCCGGTTTCAGCTACGGTAGCTTCTTCCGGTGCGGTATTCTCCATGACCCAACGGATGTCCACCGCGTCCCATCCTTCGGTCGTGTTCCAACCTGTGGGTTGTGGGACGCGAGGCCAGGTTTCTTGTACCACCCTTCCTGCTACCGTACTTGGCATTTCCGAGCTTATCTCCTCTCCTTCTTCCACTGTCGAAGCTCCAGTGTCTGCAGGATTAGTGGTCGAGGCGACGGGCACGGCGAGCGTGCGGAAGGTTCCGTCAAGGCCGGGCATTGGTAGTCCGTTTCTTCCGGGTGGCTCCACGTCGGTGGTGACGGGTGACCCGGTGGATCAATAACAAAGATGTGGTGATTGTCCCCAGAGGTCTTGGGTGATTCGAAGTCGAGCACAAACACTCCTCCCTCGCTTGTTGCCTTGCCGATAAAGGTCCCTTCATATATGAAGTGAAGCTCGTTCTCTGTTGTTTGGAGCTCGACACCGCACTTCATCAGTTGGTCGAGATACAAGAGGTTGTATTGAAGCTCTGGCATGACAAGGACGTCGCTGATGTAGATGCAGTCACCGGTGTCGTGCGATTCCAGCTGGATCTCTCCGCGGCTCCTGGCGTGGATCTTTTGGCTGTTGGTGACGGTGATTTCAACCTTGTTAAAGAGTTCTTCACTATTAAGGATGACGATGCTCGACGACACCATGTGTTGGCCATAGCAACTATCCAGGTACCACTTGTTGACTTCTTTCTTTGCCTTGGCAAGGTTCGCGAGCTTCGGAGTTATGTGATGCTCCATGTCATGCTCGTCTTCGTAAACATAAAAAATAACCCTCTTTGTCGTATGCGATGCGTGCAGGTGGTGACTCTTGGATCCACTGTGGAGCTTCCCAATCGAACTGCATGCGGCCGACTGTCAGCTCGTCGTAGGTGGGGTCGTTTGCCTCTTCATCTTCGAACGATCCTTCGGGTCTCTCCTGAGGTGGGTCCGCAAACTTGTCCTCCCAGCTGCAGAAGAATCAGTGTGTCGGTTGGGGCGAGGCGGTTCGCGTCGCACTATGCAAGTTAATACCTTGCTCTTTCCCTTGTCATTTGTGTTCGCGGGGATTCAGGCCGGAGCTTGAGAGGTGCTGGCAATGCCGGTGGCGATACTGTCTGGTTGCGTGCTGGAGCTCCTGCAGCTTGCTGGTGAGTAGCTCCACCTTTCTGATCGTGATTGTTGCCGTTCAGCTTCCAGCATTCTTGGATGGTGTGTCATGTCTTCTTGCAGTACTTGCAGAAGAGCTTTTTCTTGTCTGGTCGCGCTTGCGCAAAAAATGCAATCTTCTCCTTCTTGTTGCCTCTCTCGTTGCACGGGCCAATCTCCTGTTGCTCAGCGAGGAACGACGCGCAGAGGGAAGTTTCGCTGAGGTTTCCTTGCGTGCGTAGAAGCGACTTGCGCCATTCCGGACTCAGACCAACGAGGATGATGGTGACGAGCATGTCGTCAGGGAAGTTGCCGCAGCTTTGCTTGAATTTGTCCCTCAGGTTTCTGCTGCGGTTGATGTATGGTCCAGCCTTCTCGCCGGAAAATATTTTTACGTTGTTCAGCTGGTTAAGAAGGCGACTGAGTGTCATCGAGTCCGTTGCCATGTGGCAGGTGCGTAGGTGTTCCCATGCTTGCAGTGCCGGCGCCCACTCGTTTTTGAAGGGACGAATGCTCAGTTGTTCTTCGGGCGTCAGATTATGGATCAGGACGGTGAAGGCCAGCAGCGATTCGTTGTCGTATTGCGTCTTCTCTTGAGGTGAGACATTGACCGGGAATGCGTAGGATCCGTCGTAGTACATCCAGATTTGTGCGCCTTGAGCCAGGAGTTCGAATTCAAAACTCCCGGTGTAGAAGTTCTTCCAGTCGAAAGAAAAAATGGTCCTGAGCTTTGATGTCGAGAGAAACTTGCTTTGCATTGACGCCATTGTTTCGTACTGCAATTGTTGTGCTTGTGCAGGACCTTGAGCTCAACGGGAGATGAGCTGCTCGAGGAGCGCTGAGTCCACGGTCGTTGTTCTAGAAGCGACATTGGTGGAGGGAAGTACTGGATTTTCTCCAGCCTCTCCGCAATCTGCGCCTGGCATGATGCTTGCCCTTGATGTAAGAATAAGTTATAGTGAAAATTTTAGCAGTTTCTATAATCAAACTTAGCTCTCATACCATGCTAGAGTGAGGATTTTGGATAGAATAGGATTGCCTTAGAGAGTTTGATAGCGGAAGACTTGTGGTAGGAACCTTGTGCATAGTGAATGTAATTGACAAGATTGATTAAAAGGATAATATACAAACAATAAATAGATCTAGCTAGACAAGTACTCTAAGGGGTACATTCCCTTATTCTAAAATTTTTACAAGCAGTTCTACAGTGACAGCCTGTTGCTATTCTTGTTTGTTACCAAGTCGCTGCGTGTAACCGTACAGGTGGTTACGCCTATTGCCATTCTTCGATGGTGAGTCAATCAGTCCAGATGGTCAACAGTCGCGACAGTTGACCATTGGGACTGTTGACCTTCTTGCCTTTGATACGGGCTGATCCGATACTGCTGCTAGTGCTGTTTCGATAGTGACGAGTGCGGTACACCACCACCGCCACAACAAGAACAACAACGACGAAGACGACGACGGCGGCGGCGGCGGCGGCGACGACGGCGACGGCGGCGACGGCGACGGCAACGGCGGCGACGACGGCGACGACGACGACGACGACGACGACGACCACGGCGACGGCAACGGCGGCGACGACGGCGACGACGACGACGACGACGACGACGACAACAACAACAACAACAACAACAACAACAACAACAACAACAACAACAACAACAACAACAACAACAACAACAACAACAACAACAACAACAACAACAACAACGACAACAACGACAACAACAACAACAACAACAACAACAACAACAACAACAACAACAACAACAACAACAACAACAACAACAACAACAACAACAACAACAACAACAAACCCTCAAACGTCACCGTCCTACTCGTCACCATAGCATCACTCACCTCATCGCCCTCGTGCTTGTCTCGAAACGCCCTCTTGCCGACCCTCTGCTCTCCCCTCCACCCACCTCCTCGCCTTCGATCCCGCCCTAAAATACCATATTGTCGCCCTTCATCTCTCTGCTCCCGTTACCTATCTCATCACCATCGCGCGTGCCTTGAATTGCCCTCCGACTTTCATCTCTCCCATCCCATCACTCGCCTGGTCACGCTCGTGCTCACCCATCAACATCCTCTCCTTGCCCTTCCTCTCTCTCCTCCTATCTCCACATTGTTGCCCTCTCATCAACCCTCTTCTCTCCCCTCCCATCACCCATCTCGTCGCCCTCGCATTCCCTTCGAAATGCCCTCTCTCGCTCTTTGCTTCTCCTCTCCTATCACCCACCTCATCTCCCTCACGCATGCCTTAAATTTCCCCCCCATTACCTTTCACCTTTCCCCCCCCATCTGGTCTCCCTTGTGTTCTCCCTCTCGTCCCGCCACCTTCGGGTTCCCCCTCATCAAGTCCCCCTCATCTCTAGATGCTATTGGTATCTCTCTCAAAACGTCTTTGGCTTGGTTAGGCACACCACCCAGCCTCCCTCTTCCCCTATGCATCACTCATATGGCATAGATATCTGCAAATTTGTAACAAATACGGTACAGTGGGGCAAATGTTTGCACTTCTATGAAATGCTAAAGAAGCCACTTACATCCGTTGTTGCAGGTTCTTTATGAGTTTTCACTCCCCATGGGGTATTTCTGCTACAAGGCCAGAGGAGCTCATAGGCTTTCGAGGTGCCTCAAATGGGGAGCCATTGTAAGTACCCTCTTGCTTCACACCGGCCCTGTTAGCACCGAGGCTGAGGAGCAAATATTCTTTCGAGATGCCTCAAAAGAGGACTCACTGTACATCCCCCATTCCTCCCCTCAATGCCCAGTCTCAACAATGAGGCTCGAGAAGCTACCAGACTGTTGCGGCAGGTCAGAAGCTAAGGAGGCGGTTGACATAACCCCTTGCTCCTCAGGGCCCATTTCAGCAGTGAGACTAGAGATGCCAACTGAATTTTGAGGAGGATCAAAAGAGAAGGAGCCGCTCGGCATATGCCCTTGCTCCTCTGAGCCCGTTTCAACAGTGAGGCTAGATGAGCCAAAAGAATCTCCAATCCCCACGTCCATGGAAGAAGATGACGTGCTCATCTGCACCTCAAGCATCTCCTGCTTCAGCCTCACCAGCTCGCCCAGCACTTGGAGCATAGAGGGGCGGGAGGACGCAGGCATGGTAGTGCAGGAGAGGGCGAAGCGAGCCAAGCGCAGCAGCAAATCATCCGGTGCTTCCAGGTGAGGGTCCTTGAAAGCTGCTACTGCTCCTGAGTCCAGCAATGGGGATACCTGCAAGGTTGAATGGATATGGCATGCAAAAGAGTTGTGAGTCGACTCAAAACAAGTGCATCCGGTGCATCAAAGTGAGGGTCCTTGAATTCTGCTACTGCTCCTGAGTCTACCAGAGGAGACGCCTGCCAAATTGAAAGGATATGTTGTACAGAAGGGCAGTGAGTCGAATCAAAGCACTAGGGAGAGGAGCAAGTCGGTACATGGCGGAAGGAAAGGAAGGCTCAATGTGTGACAGGTACAGGGTAAGGCAAAGCTAAATGTCTATCATTGTTACACTTGTCTCGCGCAATACAGTACGTGTCCAGGAAGAGAGGATAACATGTAAACTGGTCTACATATTTCTGGCCAAGGTTGTAAGCAAGCAAACCTAATCAATGTGTAGCAAACATGAGCGTATGAAAGTCGGCGTTCACGCCCTTTTTCTAGGCTTCGTATACCATGGTGAGCTGTGCCTCACCCATCACTTGATATTGATTCAGGTGTCCTCTTGTACAAGAACAGCCTCCTAACCCGTGACAACCACAAGCATCACTTCAGAAATTCTCAACAGCCATGTCTCACTCACCCATCGCTTGATATTGATGCGGATCTTCCCTTGTACAAGCACAGCCTTGTGCCCCGTGACCACCACCAGCATCACCACGCAAAAGCTGCAATTCAGGCATTCAAAAAAGAAAAAGAAAAAAAGAAGAAGAAAAAAACAATTTTCTATGAAGATATGCTCACGTGTGACAGTTCTTCCAAATACATTGGAAATCAATACAGTTGTCCTCACTGCTATAGGCCTCTTCACAAACAGACGTGTACCAAGCCCCATCTTTAAGAAGTTGAGCATCTGAAAGGCATGTCTTAAACACCAACCACGGGCTGCCTGCCAATATCTACGAGGCAAGAAAATGCTGAAAAACATAGTAAAGAAGGAAATTAACCCTGCTTCTAAGAAACCTCAGAGAATTTTCACAAACATTTGATGCCTGAAAATGGTTGTTTCGTCCCAATCTGCTCAAATCCTGCACCAATCTTCTACCCTGCACTAAATTTCACTCCTGCATCAATCTTCTCCCCTGCATCAATCTCCTCACCTGCACCAATCTCCTCCCCTGCACCAATCTCCTCCCCTGCACCAATCTCCTCCCTTGCACCAATCTCCTCCCCTGCGCCAATCTCCTCCCCTGCACCAATCTCCTCCCCTGCACCAATCTCCTCCCCTGCACCAATCTCCTCCCCTGCACCAATCTCCTCCCCTGCACCAATCTCCTCACCTGCACCAATCTTCTGACCTGTGCTATGCCAATGTACACACCTGCGGCTGTAGTGGCCTTCTGAGATTGGTAGTATTCAAGCTCCACATAGCCTGGTGTTTCCACGACTTCTCCAAACCTACTCCTAGGCAAATGCCGGCTGGAACCACTCTGTAACGCTTCGTACCTGTACACATCTGCGGCTGCTGTGGCCTTGTTAGAGCTGCAGTATTCAAGGTCCACATAGCCTGGTGTTCCCACGACTCGAGTGGCAGCCAAGGATGTGCTTCCACACAGCTTCACGAGCCCAAAGTCGGCAATCTTTGCCTGCCCATGAGAATAGGGCAACCACAGCAACAGCATGATCATGTAACATGAAAATAGGCGACTCTATGCTCGGCTGTCCAAAACATTACATGATATATGAAAGGGATGAACAGCGTAGAAAAGAATCCTCTTTCCACATGCCAATGCTGCTCTAGAACTTTGACCATGCCTGCATTTTTTCATCGAGGAGAATGTTGGCCGGCTTGATGTCCCGATGCACAATCCTAAAGTCATGCAGATACTGCAACCCCTTGGCCACTCCAATCAGAATATCCAGTCGTTGGCATAGAGAAAGAGGGCTGGAGGCATTGGGGCCAATCCAGCTGTCAAGGTCACCGTTGGGCATGAGCTCATAGACAAGAATCTGCTCCATGGTTCGTGTGGACGGATCAAAGTCGATGCAATAACCCAACAGCCGCACGAGATGCGGATGGTGCTTGCTTGCCATCTCTTTCACCTGACAGGGAGAGTGGTAACAGATGAGAGGAGAATGGACTTTCGATCCAACCAGCAGCCTATGTCAGAGTTGGGATAGGAAACCAGCAAGTAACGTGGTACCAGCAGAAACGAGGTACCAACAAAAACGAGGTACCAACCAGCACGAACTCACAACATGGTACCAAATGTGGTCCTGAGCATTATCAAATGTGGTACTCACAACCGACCTACCTCTCTTTGGAAATCGTTTGTGAGCACACGAGCTCGTTTGACTGCCCAAGCTTGATTGAAATCATGAGGACACACTCCCTTGTAGACTACCCCAAAGCCGCCTTCTCCTATCTTGTTGCCCTCTGCCCACCCTCCTGTGGCCGTGGCCAGCTCTGCCAGAGAATATTCTCGACACACATATGGCTGTGCTACTTCCATCTCCACCACAACACCAGCACGCTGTCCCCTTCCTGCTGCTGCTGCTGCTGCAGCGCCTGCTGCGGCCTCTTTTGCTGCTGCTGATGGTGGTGTTGCTGCTGCTGCTGCTGCTGCTGCTACTGCTGCTGCTGCTGCACCTTCTGTTGCTGCTGCTGCCGCACCTTCTGCTGCTGCTGCTGCCGCACCTTCTGCTGCTGCTACTGCTGCTGCTGCAACCGGTGAAGCAGCTGCTGCCGCACCTTCTGCTGCTGCTGAATCTTCCTCCTCACAACGAGCTTCTGTAAAGGAACACAACAGAAGGAAGGGAGATAGAAAAGACATACAGCAGGTAAGGGGCCAGGAAATACCCACCCCACTTATCCTACTACACTAAGGGGCCAGGAAGGACCACCAGCCACCACTCTTCCGGGAACAGATGTTGCCACATTGGGATCACGTTGCCACATTGGGATCTGTGTTGCAGATGACGCGTCTTGCGTCCTGGACGCAGTGCGTCTAGACGCTGCGTCCAGGACGCAGGACGCTTTTTTCTGCCGTTTTAGACGCAGGTAATGACGCAAGCCCGGGCAGGCTAAAAAACGTTCGGGTAGGCCCAAAAAAACCCCAATGGGGCAGGGGGGGTGGGGAGGGATGGACATAGTAGCAGAGGAGGAAGAACTAGGAGAAGCCATAAGTTCGGTGAGGAAAGAACTAAACCCCCAAGGAGAATTGGGTTGAACTAAAGTGGAGGAGCACAAATGAACGATTTGGTTGGGTTTAGAAGATGATGTGCGGTTGAGTAGGATGTGGCGCAAATTTGGGTGGAGGGGTTTTTGTTTTAGGGTTGTGGGCTGTTTATGACGGTCGAATTCGTTTGGGGGGGGGGGGGGGGGGGGGGGGGAATTTCGCGATTTCGACATTCGCGTCGAAATGGCAAATGTCGAATTCGCGCGGGGGAGATTTTTTTTTTCGGTCAGCCCGAAAAAAAAAACTCCCCATGCGTCTTGCGTCTAAGAGTGCGTCCTGCGTCTTCTGCAACACATATTGGGATCATGTTGCCACATTGGGATTACGTTGCCACATTGGGATCACGTTGCCACATTGGGATCACGTTGCCACATTGGGATCATGTTGCCACATTGGGATCATGTTGCCACACTGGCATCATGTTGCCCCATGGGCATCATGTTGATAATCTACGCAAATCGGTGATCAAAATGTCTGAAGAGATTGACCACCAAATGATCAAATATGGCGGGTTGATCAACCCGATTCGTCACCGGGTCAAACCAACCCGCCCTCAAGTCACAGCCAAATCGATCGTATAGTCCTGGTCGGGTCGGCTTTTCCGAAGTCCTTCCCCGAGGCCGAATCAAACCGACTGGGCCTATTGTCTTGGTTCAAGCAATGGGTCGGGTCGGGCGAGCCGACCGCGCCCGTACCCGGCTTGGGTCATGCAACGGGCCGGGTCGGGACGGAACGGACCGATTCATTGCTCATGACTGTTTTCACCTGAGCCTCCATCTCTCCTGGTAACTGTGCAGTATTTTTAATCGCCAGCTTCTTCCAGGCTCCAGCCGCTGCCATGTGGCGGCATGTAGCTCCTCCACGTCAGATGTCCGCCCCTCTGTTGTAACATTTGTTATACAACATACATAGGCTAGATTGTGGGGTATGGTTGCTAAGGGGCTGTTGGGTGTACCTTCCGATAGGGATGAGCAAGAGGGGAACACGAAGACCAATCTCGTTTTGGCACCCGCTTCTAACTGGAACTGATAATCTACGTAGAGCTCCTTGAAAGAATCTCAAGTGTTGTCTTGATTAGAAAGAGTGTCGGTACATATAGGAGATGAGAAGTTTTGGGAACGAAGTGGGGTACCCTCAGCATTTATTGGTGGACCAATCAGATTGGGTCGACCAACAATTGCTGGGGTAACCAACAATCGTTGGAGGGGACCATTATTGGGCCCCCCCCGTCAATTGCGGTCGAGTTGGGTTTGGGGGCGCCCAACCAAAATTGGTTGGGTCGCCTTGACCCAAAGTGTACACCCACTTTAGGGTGTAACACATGCACAAATATAAACATACATTATGCTATATTCTAACACAACCCCGTAGCATAAGAGGTTTATAAGTGTGCACAACCCCGGAATCATGAAGCCGGGGAGAGGCCAAGAAGGCGAAGGAAGGCCCGGTGGGCTAGCTTCGGAAGAGCTTTGGTGAAGATGTCAGCGAGGTTGGCTTCGGCGGCAATTTTTCGGACGGCAAGATGGCCTTGCTGGACAAGATCGCGAATGTAGAAGTAGCGTAGTTCGATGTGTTTGGAGCGCCCGTGGAAGACCGGATTCTTGGTGCGGTGGATCGTGCTGGCGTTGTCGCACCAGAGCGTGGGGCATGGCTGGGGGGCCCCAAGCTCGGCTAGCAAGAAGGAAAGCCAGCGTCCTTCCTGCGCAGCCATGGTACCAGCATAGAGTTCGGCTTCACAAGATGAGAGGGCGATGGCGGAGGAGCGGGTGGAGCGCCAGCTGACCAAGCCGCTACCGAGCGTGAAGCCATATCCTTGGGAAGAGCGGCGATCCGGCTGAGAGTCTGCCCAAGACGAGTCACTGAAGCCGGTGAGGAGCGGGGGAGAGGCACCACCAAGGGTGAGAACATGGTCCTGAGTGCCACGGAGGTAGCGTAGGACTCGTTTGGCGGCTCTCCAATGCACGGAGGTGTGACGACCGGTACCGACGAAACGCGCCAGGACGCTGATGGGGTAGGCGAGGTCGGGACGGGTCCCCATCATGGCATACATGATGGAGCCAACCAGTTCCGCATAGGGCTGAGTGGAGGCGGAGGGGGAGGTGGGTGGAGCAAGCCCATGGCCGAATGGAAGGGGAGTGGCCACTGGGTTGGCGAGAGCCATGTCGAACCGCTCCAACACCTGCTGAAGATAGTGAGATTGAGATAAGGTGATGGTGCGGGCAGCTCGATCGCGTGTGATCTCCATGCCCAAGTAGTGGCGTAATTCGCCAAGGTCCTTGCACTGGAGACGAGCTTGTAGTTCTTCCTTAACGTCGGTCATGTCGGCGGAGGTGTCGGCGAGGAGCACCATGTCGTCAACATAGACTAGGACGAAGAAGCGGCTGGGACGGGTCCGAATGAAGAGACTGGCGTCAGAGTGAGATGGTTGAAATCCGAGAGCACAGAGTGTAGATGCCAGCTTAGCATGCCATTCCCGAGGAGCCTGCTTCAGGCCGTAGACTGGACGGCGTAGTTCCCAGACAGTGTCTGGTGGGAAGGCTTCATGGAAGCCATCTGGGCGGTCGAGGAAGATTTGTTCGTGGAGGTTCCCCTGAAGAAAAGCGTTAGAGACATCCATTGATGAGATCTCCATGCCGTTGCGGGAGCCAAAGCCGAGAAGCGTGCGAAGGGTCCCGAATTTTGCGGTAGGTGAGAAGGTTTCCCAAAAGTCCTTGGCATAGGTCTGTGTGAAGCCCTTGGCGCAGTAACGGGCTTTGTAGACGGGCTCCTCCCCCGGAAGCTGCTTCACCCGGAAGACCCACTTGCCAGCGACAATGTTGGCATCTGGAGGCGGCTTGACATCGACGAAGGAATCATTGCGAATGAAGGCGTCGCACTCCTTGCGAATGGCCTCCAGCCATTTGTTAGCGTCAGGGCACGTGATTGCCTCCTGGAATGTGGTAGGCGTGAAGATGAGAGGTGAGGAGGGAGTGCCAAGTACAACCGCGCCCAAAAGGGCAAGGTACACAGGGTTAAGGGAAGGAACGTGAGTGTGAATGGCACAAAACTCCTCATGGGAGTCTTCATGAATGAGAGGTGGTTGACCAAGAATGGGGTCAAGGGAGCGAGTGTGCATGCGTGGGAGGAGGAAGGGAGAGCGTGAGGTGAGAGAAGTGCGAGGACGTGGGGAGGATGCAGGAGGTGCGGCGGGCGAGGATGGAGGAGGAGAAGCTGGAGGGAGGTGGGTGGGAGGGGAGGGAGGAGGGGGAGAGGGAGGAGGGGGAGCGGTGGAAAGGGCAGGTGAGGCAGCAGGATCATAGATATCAGCCGAGGAAGGTGGAGGTGAGAGTGGAGTAGTTGGGAGGAGTGGAGCAGATGGGAGGAGAGGAGGAAGAAGGGCATCCGCCCAGGTGAGTGGGCGGGAGGGTGGGGGGAGAGGGTCGGAGGGAGGAGGAGAGGAGTAGTAGGGGATGGTTTCATCGAAGACGACATCGCGGCTGCGAATGAGGCGTCCGGAGGGAGGATGAAGGAAGAGGTACCCAGGAGAGCCACGATTGTGGCCGAGGTAGACGCACTCCAATGCTTTGGAGGCAAGTTTTCCTGCTTTGCGGGAACGGTCTGCGGGAGGAATGAGAACAAAGGATTTGCAGCCCCAGACGCGAAGGACGGAGGCATCAGGTTTGGAGTTGCACCAAAGCTCAGTGGGAGTGAGGTTGGGATGGTGGGGGTGAGGGTAGAGGTTGGTGAGAAGGGCGGCATGAGTGAGAGCATAGCCCCAAAGGGAGGGAGGGGTAGATGCATGGGTGAGGAGACAGCGGGCAGTTTTGGTGATCTCACGGATGCGACTTTCAGCTACACCGTTTTGTTGCGGAGAATGAGGGAGAGTGGACGTCTGTTGAGTGCCATGTGCTTTGCAGTAGGAGGCAATGGTATGGTTGAGAAACTCCCCGCCACCGTCAGAGTGAAGGCGACGGATGGGTCGGCCGAAGTGCACGCGCGCTTGTTCGGCCCAGGCGATGATGACAGCGGCTGCTTCAGCTTTCGTGTGGAGTAGAAACACAGAGGAGTAGCGGCTATGGTCGTCTACGAGGACGAGCATAAAGCGGTGGCCCTGGCGGGAAGGGGAGGGGGAGGGACCCCAGAGGTCCATGTGGACGAGATCTAGGGGAGCAGTAGCAAATGAGGGATGGCTGTGATGGGGTTTTTGTTTGAGTTTGCCATGAATGCAAGTGGGACAAGGAGGAGCTGGTGAGGTGGGTAGGGGAGGAAGGGCAGGGGGGAGCCCATGAAGGAGG